TTATTTAATCAAAGGTGGTATAATTATGGTTGCCTGTGAAAAATCAGTCCTGAATTGGCTAGTTTCCTAGGTTTAAAATAAATTGTTTCAACTTATAATGCAATAGATAATTATAAAATAATCATTCTCTCATCCATTCATTTGACAAGTTACTTACTTTTGGTTTTTTTTTCGCTAATTTTATTAACGTATTACGGTTGTCGAATTTTAAAAAGTGAATTATTGCCGCAAGTTAACGTGCGACTGAGACGGACTGACTGCGTTTGAACAGAAGTGAGATAGCAACACGTCGCTGTACCCCAAGATCAAGTGAAAGAAAAGCCGCTAACCTAACCTAACGGGTAACCGGGGCTCCGGCTCGACGTGCAGGAGAAGGAACGAGGTGGTTTTTAGTCAGTAAGAGTCTGACACTCCCTCCCCGTGAGCTGTCATTCGATGATTTTCCACCATTAAAAAAAAAGATAAATAAGTATATGTTTATATTTCATAAGATTAAAATATCAGTTTACAAAATTACGTTACTAAGTTAAAAAAATATACTAAAACATGTTTTTACTCGATTTTTTACACACTTTTACACTTAAAAAGTATATGAAAGTAGACAAATAGTTGATGAATGATATCAATATGTGATCACAATTGGGTTGTTTCCAGGGTATCAAAATTAAAAATCTAATTAATCCGTCAGTTAGATAATGAAAAAATATTAGACACGTATTTTTTTATTTACTCGTATTAAGTTGCAATACTTAGATAAAATGGCGCAAAATTTAAGAGTGGGAGGTCGTTACGTCATAACGGGCTACAGAATGTGGCACGCTGTGACGTCACACGATATTTCAAATTAATATATCGTCGAAAGTATTTAACTTGGTGAGAAAAGAAAAAATACGTGTCTAAAGTTTTAAATTAATGTACCAGACGGACATTAAAATAAAATTTAGGAAACTACCCTCTATCATCATAAACAATTCATTTATTCACACATTTCAGTTTTGGAAATATAATTACATATAAACGGTATTTTTTATTTACTTTTCAAAAACTTCGTTACATAAAACGAATATTTTACATCGAAATCGAAACTTAACAAAAACAGACCCATTTTTACATAACAATTCTACAATTTTAAACCATGAAATCTATTTCGTCCGTCGACAAAACAACTTGTCATAAGGAGTACTTTCAGTGAATAAAGTAAGAACAAAAAAATAAATATGTATTTTTTTTTTGTCAAAAAAAACAAGGAAATACGCACATACATTTTGTAGGCACTATTCGCATAACAAGTGCCACCCGAAGAGATATACCTCTTCAAGAACTACATGGACTGATGTTTTGATAATGTACTATGAGTTCGTATGCGCTTTCGAAGTTATAATAATAACTATCATGAAACATAATAAATTAACTAAAAATCGCGGGTTACTCACGTTAATATATTGAGAAAAGCTCTACTAGTTTCGAACCACAGAGGGATTCTTCCTCATGAGCAGCGTGCGCGGTTGCGGCGATGTCGCGTAGCTTACGGAGGCTAGCAGGCAGCAAACCCCTCTGTGATTCGAAACTAGTAGAGCTTTTCTCAGGATATTCACGCGAGTAACCTGTTCACCAAGTATGTTTTGTTTTAAACATTTTTTTTGTAAAACTATTGTATTACGTAGATAAAACCATTTTACTTCGGAACGAAAACGAGATTTCACGGTGTCAAGTTTGATATTAAGTAAAAAAACAATAATCATAATAAATATTATGTACATTTGGAATAAAAAAAATGTGGACAAACGCTAGTCCAAGATCTACAAACTTACTTCACTGAAGTCAGTAGTACCATGAATATGAAACCTTATTCCGTTGAGGATAAAACTGAAAGTCTCTTATATATGGATATTGTGTATAACTGAAGTACAGTATAGTCTATCAACACTAAACTGTCACTTAGCTAAACGATACTTAGCGTGACGTAGCACCTAAACTAACCCTTATCTTGTTAGGTGTCATGCGTTTTTTTATGGAATAAGGGCAAACAGGCAGACTCGTCACCTGATGGTAAGCGATCAGCGTCGCCCATGGATACCCGGAATTTTAGAGGCGTTATAGGTGTACACGTGCGTTATCGGCCTTTTAGGGATTAAGAATTTGAGGATTGTTGGGGAATCAGAGTTTGGGGAGATTGGGGAATGGCGGAATTGGGCCTCCACTGGCCTCCAGTAACCTCACTCACACGACGAAACAATGCAAGCGTTGTTACACGTCGGTTTTCTGTGAGGCCGTGGTATCACTCCGGTCGAGCCGAAGCATGGCTCTCTCAAACTTGTCTTAGTTTAGGGGTTGCTTAAAATTGAGAAGAGGTTGGTGAATATGGCCATTAAACAGTCAAACACCAAGCGGTCACCGGTGACCGCAACCTATTGTTCTATAATTGTGTCTATAACGACGGTACTCAAAGAGTTAATCTGTAAGTGATCTCTACTTCAAAGTTTAGGCTTCTTTTTCTTCGCCTCTTTCTTATAGAAATCTTCTCTGAATATATTAATCCTTTCATAGTTTTCGCGTTCAGTGCTCAGAGGTCCGAATTGAATGGAAAAGTCAACGTATTTTTGAAAATCCTGAAAATATTATAAAAAATTAATGATTAGTAAAATTAGTCATTGTACAGACGACTTGGTTAAGATCGCAGGGAGCCGCTGGGTAAGGTGCATCGCGTCCATGCGCGCTTTAAAGAGCCATCAGATCACCACAGATGGGGCTCAATAGGGCTTATGCATCCGGAGCTGCGGACTACCTAACCGGACTCTGGTTCAAAGTACTGGGGGGTTACTCTTGAATCCAATTCCGATCGATCGACATTGGTATTGTGAAATTTCGTACTCTCGAGTTGCAATACTAGCGTCCATTGCATCCAAATTGCGTGGATATTTCATGAACTAAATGGTATTGAGTTTGGCTTTATATTCTGTACTCACAATGCTATTGTAACAGCTACGATTGTGGTTGTATAATTTTGACATTGAATAATTATTGAGATTTTATTGGATTGAAATTGCATTGACATTGAGATTGGTTTCAAGAGTAAGCACCCTGGGGCAGATTTTAGTTAGATTATGACACTCCCCCCTCGCTTCACTTAAGGCGGGAGAAGTAAATCGATGATTTTCCATTTTTTGCCGATTTAGAAATCATAGGGTGCAGTGGACGTCTTATGGCTGATATGATGACGATGATGATGATGAATCAGTCATTTGATGGCGCGACGCTCGCCTCGCATGATCTTCATTATAATATTCCCTTGCATGGCTTGAGACGGTGTGGCCTCGCCAAAGGGTACAGTAAGATGTTAAACATATTTTTTTTAATGATGTTGTGGTATCGATGTGATATTTAGGGTCATATTTACCATTGTATCCATAGGTTCTAAGTCCTTCTGTAGCAACACCTCTAATATTTCACCTGGCGACAGTTGTTTCACGTTTAATCTAAAAAAAAATTTGACTTATTTTTCTCTGCTTGAGGTTGGGGGGAAAAAGTAGATGAACCATCTGATCGTAAAGAATCAACGCCGCCCATTGATACCCACAACATCAATGGAGTTAAAGGTGCATTGCTATTTTTTTAGGGATTTGGGAATTGGGCAGGAAGTGCACCCTCAGATAACCTCCCTCACACAGTCGACAACTCAATAATTGAGCTGTATGCAGCCATGATGTTATGTCACGTCGGTTTCCCGTAAGGCCGTGGTATCACTCCGGCCGAGCCATCTATTGGTGCTGAACCATGGTTCTCTCCAGTTTCAGCCTCCACAAAGTTCGTATAATAAACTACACCTGATGCAAACTTTAATCAGATAATGTATCAATGAGACTGTAAAATACATTTTTTTTAAAAGAGTATCGATGGAGTTTCTTTCTCGTTCTTCTCCATTCGAAACCACACTCTAGAACGAGCGCCTGGCTTCATTAACAGACAAATGGCCGAACAATTCAATTTTTGACGTTTCAATATTGCCTAAGGATTAATTGAAATACATGCTTTGATTTTAAGAACTTTGAGATTTATCACATTTCAATAAAGTTCATATTTACCTAACAATTCTTTCCGGAGTCATGACCTCATCGAAAGCTTTGATAATGTCTCCGAAACTATACCCTCGTAGCAACTGTGCCATTGGCTGAACGGAAATGTCTCTTGGTATGCTCCTTATGCTGTAGGGAATAAGGTTAAGTTTATAAAGAAAGAAAAAGAAATACATTACTTTCTTGCCGATTTAGTTGCTGCTTTGGTCTTTTTTTTGTTACAGTACAAGTTCGCCAAACCCTCCCAAAACCGCTGCAACTCCTGTAAGCCAAGATCTAAGTAGATACAACCATGAAAACACCGGAACACTGAAGTCCGGCGTGTCCCGAGGACATGAATAACTGTCTTGGTTCCCGCAACGAAGTGAATAAGAAAATATTATAAGAGGAGAATAAAATAAAATGTTGGTCTGATGATGGTATAATCTTGAGGTCCCAATTTTGAACGCCATATTGTGACGGCCGACAAGAGTACATTTTTCACCACCTTTATTCTACCCTTGGGTATGACAGCCGTCTAAGGGTACTACACTTCTAAATATGACTCTGGCTGGCAGCAGCTCTCAATCATTAGTCCATTAGTGGACTATTATTGACTGTTGACGATGATGATTCCGCGTTTCTACCGCTTTACTCAGGGCCTATTAATCAAAACATCATGTTATATGGCCTATAGGCTATAGATAGCCCATTTTTATAATAGTTTGTTTGTTGATTTGAACGCGCTCAAGAACTAGGTTTTTATGACATAAGCCGGTCAGCGAGCAGACGGATCACCTGATGGTAAGCAATCGACGCCGCCAATGGACACCTGAAACACTGAGGCGTTACAAGTGGTTCGCATCAAGTGTTTTGGGAATTGGAAATTTGAGGATTGTGGAGGATTCGGGGATTGGGGAGACTGGGGAAGGGGGTAATTGGCCCTCTGGTAACCTCACTCATCCGATGAAACACAACGCGGCGGACGAAACGCGTCGGTTTTCTGTTAGGCCGTGGTATTACTCCGGTCGAGTCAGCCCATTCGTGCCGAAGCATGGCTCTCCCACACTTATCCGATTCTATCTATATAAGTGGTCCAATTAGGACGGCTATTATAGCCTTGCTCGATAGGACTATCTAACACAAGAATATTTTATCAAATCGGATCAGTAATTCTTGAGAACAGCGCTTTCAAACAAATAAATCAGTATTCCGCCCAAATATTGAAATGCTAGTCAATTTTATGTTGTACTTAAATATCGTGCCGTCTCTATCATTTTACATAGAATTTGTAGAGACAGAACTATATTTAAGTGCGACTTAAATACTTTATATCCTGCTTCCCCGCGGTGGTTCAACCCTCGAACCCTGTCAGCCATAAATCCCCAAATAGACCTTATTTCTAATGTTTAGAGACTACTTTTGTATGACCAAATTTAGGGAATGGATTTCAACGGGCTAGCACTGGATCTGGCGTTCGACACGGGCACTCGTCTCCTACAGCGGCCAGTGACATCAGGGGATTACTAAACCAGTGAGGAGTTAATCGCTGTATAGGCTCTAATCCAATATTTTCTACCGACCCTCATCTACTGAACTAATTACCTAGACCTTATAAGAAATATTCTAATTTTATTGTCTACATACATACATACATAACTCCACGTCTGTCTCTACTAGGGAACGCCATTTACTACGATTCCTACATACCTCTTTCGCTCGTTATTTCATCAACAGTCATCAATCGAAGTATACAGAGCGGATATGAATGGGGCCGTCGGTAGAGGGCGCATGGATGGACATATAGTGACCAGATTGGCAATATATTAAAGAACGGCCAAATTAAAAATACCCTTAACCGACGAGCATGCATGAAAAGATTGATGACTGTCTACCTATTTTTATTTAATATCCTAGCAATACCTCTGCCTAGGTTAGGTAGAATAAAGAAGCGTAGCTGTAACTTAGTACTGGGACACTGGATTTCAGTGTTAAATAATAAAAATGATATAAAAATCACCTCATTAGTTTAGTATATAAAAATTGTGACAAGGATCCGTAGTCAGTTCTTGGGACGAGCAAAATCTCATCAAATATGCTCGCCATAGGTTTTGCTTTAGCACTCCAAGGGTTAGTACAGGTTCCTGTAAAAAAAGAGCATTACATAACATACCTTTTGCCCCTGAAAGGGTAGGCAGAGGTGTACGTTACGGCACTTAATGCCACTGTACAATGTAACACCCACTTTTCAGTATTTATGTTATGAGTCCCATGTAATAGGGGGTGAGCCTATTGCCATATACCGGGCACAATTCCAGACTCCGTGCTATATACATAAATAACTTCACGCCTGTGTGCCATAGGCATAGGCAGAGACTAAGGAACGCCAATTACTTCGTGCTACTACTGAGTTTTTTTTTAAAAAGACCCAGTAATACTTTGCACGACCCGGGACCCCTTGCCTGGCAGTCGCACTTGATACCACTCGGCCAACGAGGCCACGTGTCTCACGATTGTTATTATAGAGGTATAAAATAAAAATGATGTTACCAATGAAAATAACTTTATCATCCACTGATATCTGTTTAATTTGTTTCGCTAGAGCCGCTTTAAGAACTTGAGCTTTAAGATATTTATCTTCTGGAGGCACCTGAAGCAAATCAACAATTTAAAACATTTAATATACTTGATACGTGAATTACTTGCGTTGTGTTCTGTCGTGTGAGTGAGGTTAAATTATCCCACTCCCCAATCTCCTCAAACCATTTCCATGCTTCGTCATGAATGAGCCGGCTCGACCGGAGTGATACCTCGGCCTCACAGAAGACCGACGTGAAACAACGCTTGCGTTGTGTTTCTCGTGTGAGTGAGGTTACCGGAGTCCCAATTACGCCCCTCCCCAATCCCTGAATCCCCAACGATCCTTAAATTCTTAATCCCAAAACGCCGGTAAGGCACTTGCTTATTCTTTGTCCTCTATTCCATAAAAAACGGGCCTGCGAAAGACCCGAGCGAAAGACCCATCAGACCACTAAGGATGCGGCCCAATAGGGCTGATGCCGATACGGAGCCGCGGAGAATGTAAAAGGTTACCGGGGCTCCGGCTCAAAGTGTAGGAATAGAAACAGGGTTGTTTTTAGTTAATAAGAGTCTGACAATCCCTCCTGCCTCATTGAGGAGGGAGAGGCGATGATTTTCTCCCATTAAAAAAGAATCCAAAAAAATGGTTGACTAGATTTGAAGAATAGTTAATTTCATACCTTTGTAGCGAATACTCTTTCAACATTTTTCATGAATATTACAGCTGGCTGAAATGCTTTTGCAGTTAGGAAAACTTGGTTCAAAATTTTCAGAGGTTTGTTGACCAGAGCTGTGAAAACTTCGGGTGTTATATCGATTTTTATGGCATCTGTAATAGATGGGTGATCTGAAATATTTTTATATTTACCCTTAAAAAAAAGAATGTTATCAGTTCGACCGAATTATATCTTTCCGGCAGGCAAGTTGCCAATAAGGACGAAATTTATTTTTTATTTTATTTTATTTTATTCATAAACAAATTTACATTTGTGTCGAATACGGTTTTGAACCAAAATTAAAAATAATCACATAAAAATCAAGAAACTCAGTTAAAAGCAATACAATTCAACGAACATATTGAATAAAAATACAGATAGATGTTATTATTAAATTAAGTGACTCTTGGTCGAAGTTGGAAACAAAATTATCGTGTATTCTAGAAAACGATGCTGTCGTCCGGTCCGTCACTTTATAGGGCATGATGGGCTGATCCAGCAATTTCGCCATCGGTGCACGACTGATGCAATATTAATAAGTGTTTCAAGTAATTTGCCAAATTGCGAAATCCATGGACTGTTGTAATTTAACAACCGTACGTGTGTTTATATGTACGAACCAATCTTGATGTGGTTTTCAGAAAAGTGGTTATTACACTTAGGACAAGGTTTAAATTAACCGACTTCAAACAGAGGGGGCTAAAGTCAGTTTTTTTTAAATATCAATATATACATAGTATAAAACAAAGTCGCTTTCGCTGTATGTCCGTATGTATGCTTAGATCTTTAAAACTACGCAACGGATTTTGATGCGGTTTTTTTTAATAGATAGAGTGATTCTTAAGGAAGTTTTCTATGTATAATATATGCATATTGCACCCGTGCGAAGCCGGGGCGGGTCACTAGTTGTTTATAAAAAAAAATACTGCTCTCCTTTTGTTTCAGTTCAAGGTCGGCTCAACCAGTCAGTAAGGTTTCTGGATCGCCAATCCCAAAAACTGGTAATGCACTTCCGATTTTCTCTTGTGTTGCATATATCATAGGAGGCGTCAATTACTTACCATCAGGCACCTCCCTGCTCATTTGGTCCCTATATCATAGAAAGGAGAAAATAATTTGCCCTGCAAGTAAATTTTTCCAAAGTATCACCCAAAAGATCTTACTCAACTCCCCAGCAACAGCATCAGCGAGGAACTGCTTTCCATTCCTCTCAGGACCTAACAGCATCACAGACTTCCTCCTGGTAGCTCCAGCTTGGATCCCACAGCCCATTATACAGGACAATCTTATTCTATCTTTGATATCGCCATAAGCTGGAAAGGGGAACCTGAAAGAGGTTGAAGAATCATTGGACAGTGTAGCGAGGACAAAGTAGAATACATTTTACATGCATTTAAGTGTGGGAGAGCAACGCTTCGGCATGAATGGGCCGGTTCTCTCTCACTCCGGTCGAACCTTACAGAAAACTGACGTGAAACAAAAAAAAAAATGTCTCCCCAATCCCCGACTCATCCACAATCCTCAAATTCGCAATACCCGAAAGGCCAGTAATGCATTTGGAACACCTCTGGTGTTTCAGTTCAGGTGGGTGGGTGGCAGCGATTGCTTACCATCTGTGTCGGTCAGGTGTTCTGTGTGCTCGAATAGAACGTGGTTATCCTCAGCTGGACTATCGACCTCATCTGCATAAGAGGACTTTACCTTAAACTTCGCTTTTGGCAGAAGGATTTGAGATTGCGGTTTCAATGTATCAAGTTTATCAGAGAGCGCTACTGCCCTGTCTCCGTCAAATGAATAGTAACGCTCTAACGATACCCACACGTTAATGTTAGGGATGATGACAAAATTAAATATAATAGGGATGATGACAGGGTATGAAAATTAAAAATCTAATTAGTCCGTCAATTGGGTAATGAAAAAATATTAGACACGTATGTTTTTATTTTTAACCGACTTCAAAAAAGGAGGAGGTTATACGTTCGGCCGGTATGTTGCTTTTTTTTTGTATGTATGTACGTGCATAACTCTGAGATGCGTGAAGCGATTTGCAAAATTCTTGTTTTGTTTGAAAGGGTATCCCGAGATGGTCCCATTTCCATGAAGTCAGGATCTGATGATGGGATCCTAGGGAAACCGAGGGGAACTTTCGAAAATTCTATGGGCGAGTAATGCGTCTATTATGTTTTTCAATTACGATTTTTAAACACTACAATTTGATATGGGTCTGGAGTCGACCTGATGATAGAGCCGACAGACAGTCGAGGGAACTCCTCAACGATTTATATTAACTACCTTGTGTTTGGGCTTCATTAATTTGTATTGATGAGAACTTTACACCTAGATAGAGTGAGGCTGTCATTAAGGGTCTGATGATGAAGAAGTGTAATTGTTAAGGGCACTCCTCAACGGTATACTGTAACTACCTAGTGTTTGGACTTGTATAATTTGTATTGATTAAAACTTTGCACCTATGTAGATTATAAGTAACAAAACGGGTATAATTATGTACCTTTACACTGAAAATGATAAAATAATAAAATAAAAACTGCGTTTAAAAAACCGACTTCAAAAAACCAAAAACTAATAACAAACAAGAAGTCGGTGCCATAAGCTCATATCATAATGATATAACTTAATGCCCACAAAATTGTGAATTAGGTACCTATTAAGGTTTTGATGAATAATTTTGTATGGAACTTATGGCACCGACTTCTTACCTATCAGTGGGTGGGTAACCTATCAGTACTAATAATAGTTATTTTTTGCTTTTTAGTTTTGACTTTTTGTTTGTTTTTGGTAGTTTTTGGTTTTTTGAAGTCGGTTTTTAAACGCAGTTTTTATTTTATTATGGTGTATAATAAAATGATACTTTGATATAAAATAAACTTTAGGGGTGGGGGCTAAAATGACATTTCTACGTATAAATTGTAGAGGTACATAGAAGTGATGTCATACGACATTTCAAATCAATATATCGTCGAAAGTATTCGTTTCTGCATTCTTCTTCATTTTAAATTATATTGAAACTAAATAGCGTATTATAAAAGTCAAACAAAGAAGTACTTACGATGCATTCGGATCTATAATATTGAAATTATAAGCTGCATAATTCAAATCGCCGTACACTTCACAGAGTTTTGTTGTGGGTTTTGAGACTAAGTTCAGATCAAAGACTGGCTGGAAAAGGTGAAACAGGTTGTCGTAGAACTCATCTGTGAGTAGATAATGTAAAGAAAGAAAAGAGGTGATGATGATATTAAGGATGATTTTTCCTTAGGTAATATAAGGGGAAATTATTCAATATAATATGTAACTAGCTGGTTGTCCTTTTTTATCTATTCATTTATTTTGTTATTTTTTTTTATCTCTTCATTTATTTTGTAAAGTTATTATGTTTGTTTAATCAATTTATTTCATCTAAACTGTTAATGAAGAATTGGTGGCTTGTTCGTCCGCGAGTCACTTAAGAGGCCAGTAGAATACCAGCACAAGGCCCTGTCTTGCACATGCTGAACTGGTCCCATTTCACCGAAAACTTGGGACATGAATAGGCTCACCCCCTATTACATGGGACTCATAACATAAATAATGAAAAGTGGGTGTTACATTCTCCAGTGGCATTAAGTGCCGCAATGCGCACCTCTGCCTACCCCTTCGGGAATAAAAGGCGTGATGTTATGTTATGTTATTTGTAGAGACCGGATAATATGCATTGCATATTTGCATATGCATTTGCATATTTTAGCGATTTTCAAGGCTAATAGCATATTTTTACTAATATCTAGTGATGATGCATATTATTGCTATAATTTACAGTAGGTAGGTCTTTTTCGAGCGTAGCGCACTCGGCAGCCGCGCGTATTTTGTTTTGGTAGGTACTCAAAAAATGAAAGAGACAAATGATCGCGCCGCCGCGCGCTCGCCTACCGCGCTACTCCCACCTATTATGCATGTCATTATTACTTTGATTGTTGACACGCTCGTGCTTGGATAATTCACCTGCAGTTAAAAGTTTTTGTGTGTGTACAATGCCTCCCGAAAAAAAAAGTGTGTCTTCGTGGATAAGTGAATTTCCTGGAACATTTACTTACGACGGAAATGTTTTATATTGTCGAGTTTGCGAGAAAAAAATGCATATTTGCATGCATATTTCAAGCTTTTTATGTTGCATATTATCCGGTCTCTAGTTATTTGTAAGCCCAGAGTTTAAAAGGTTCAGGTTTATCAAAGAGCGCTGCTGCCCTATATCTATCAAATGTGTTCTTCCTTAGATGATTATTACGACACGAGAAGATCTGGGGTGATCATTAATATCTACGTCACCACTGAAGATATTGTGCTGATAATGAGCACTTACCGCTGTTTGCTTGATCAGCTTTTTGTCATAAATTACGGGTTTCGGTACGGGTGGCGCCTTAGGTTTCTTTCTAGGCTTGACTTTAGGAAACTTCTTGCCCATTGATTTAAAATCCGCCTGGTGTTTCTGTATCAGCATTTTTAGATCTAACCTGTCATTCGAGAAGTAAGATATATTATTAGTTTGAGAAAAAATATGTTAGTAAAACGCGTTGGTCATATTGTGATGACGGCTCATAGATCTCACTCACATGGAAGAGCCATGGGCATGGGATAGTTCAACTAGCGTGAAAAACCGTTTCTTAGTTTGTTTTACTGTGTGAGTGAGGCTGTCTGGAGGCCTAATTCTCTTTATCCTAAAATATCCAAAAGTCCAGGCGCTTGAAACTCCTCTGGTGTTGTCTGGTGTGCATGAGCGACGCTGATTGCTGACCATCAAGGGAACCATCTGCTCCCGCTCTAAAACAATGAATACATACATTTTTTATGAGATAAGTCGGTAAACGAACAGACGGATCACCTGATGGTAAGCAATCGGCGTCGTCCATGGACACCAGAAACACCAGAGGCGTTACAAGTGCCTTAGCGGCCTTTGCGGCGGATTCTTTGGATTCAGGGATTATTTGGTAACCTCACTCACTCGACGAAACACAACGCAAGCGTTATGTCACGTCGGTTTTCTGTGAGGCCGTGGTATCACTCCGGTCGAGCCGGCCCATTCATGCCGAAGCAATCACCCACACTTTGTACTTAGTTACATTATGAGTTACCTCATCATTTCATCGATAATCTTCCTGCACTCCAGATGCATATCCTTCATCAGATCCTCAGTCAGTAGCGGCTTCATGTACCCGTATATTGTTTCGCCAAACTTATCTTTTGGCATCTCATCAAAAAGAGACCATGCTGCCCTATAGCCTATGAGAGCCTACGGAAAAATTATTACACTATATTATAAATGTAAAAGCTTTTTCGTATGTATGATCCGTCCATCAATCACGCTGCCACTTCAGAGGCCTTAGTACGAGTGTCTTTTTCGTTTAAAGTTATCGAAACGAGATGGCGTTCTGTGCTCTGATTGGTTGGTTCATTAGGGTCGGCCAATCACAGCGCCGAACGCGTACTCGTTACGATAACCTTAAACGAAACTGATATTCGTACTAAGGCCTCTGAACGGATTTTGAATACTATACAGTCAGGGTATGAGCTGACTAAGGTGATAGGATACTATTTTATCCCGATTAAATGCTCCCATGCGATGAAACAGGAATCTTGTTCTACGCGGACGAAGTCGCAGGCAACAGCTAGTATTATATAAAACACAAATAGGCACTTGCATTTATTTATTTGTATTTATATTAAACGGTTTTATTGAGATTTATTCTACAAATCAAACCCTTTCGTTTGATATTCATAATGGAGGTAGGTGGAAAAAGTAGATTATATTGCATGACCATCAAGATTAAGGGTTCGTACACAAAGCTCCGATGTGATACGAATTCGCAACGCACAAAATTACGATGCGAATTGCTGCGATGCGATTTCGTGTGACGCGCCTCCCAAGGTGACCATTCCTTCGACGACCGTCAACCGTACTAAACGTATTTTAAATTGAAAACTAGATCGTGACATGGATCGTAAAACAAAGTGAAAACAATTACTTAAGACCCAAGCAAATGAACGAGGCAAGCTATATGAATTCGTGCAAACTATATCATAAAGATCCATAGCAGAGATTATGGACTGATAAGAATGCAATGCTGTTACATAGGCCACCTCCACAAGATAATAGTTTTTTTTTTGTGTTCGATGAGCCGGTAAGTGATTCGTCTAATGACCTGATGGTAAGCATCGGCGCCGTCCATGGACATCTGACACACCAGAGGCGTTACAAGTGCGTTACCAGCCTTTTGGGGAATGGGGACTTTGAGGATTTTGAGAGATTTAGATTCGGCAATTGGAGAAGGCCAGCGTTGTTTCACATAGGTGTTCTGCTCGGCCGTGGCATCAATCGGTCGGGCCAACCCATTCGTGCCGAAGCATGGCTCTCTCACACTTAAATAAATATATTCTACTTCATCTATGACTGGTATACTTGTAATGTTTACCTCATTAAGTGATGGCAGTGTAGCAGACTCCAGTATCTTATACCCAGGGTCAGAGAAGGGGTTGCATCGTGCCTTCACTAAGTTCTCATCTTCTTTTCGCTTTGCTTCTTTTGCCATCTTAGCTTTCATTTTGTTTTCTTCTTTCAATCTAGCCCTTTCTTCTTTCATCTGAAATACAGCAGTATTTTTATACCTCTAATATTCAATATGATGACTTCTACGCTGAAATACTCGAACGTTTCTCGATTTTATGTCGCGTATATAGTTCTGTCACTACATTTTTTTTTTGTAAAATGGCAGAGTTGACACGATGTTTAAGTACAATTTAATAAGCCTCTCAGTATTCAGGCGCTTGACTCTTTTTTTGTTACAGGACAAGCCCGCCACAACCTCCTAAAACCGCTGCAACTCCTGTAAACCAGGATCTACAGTAGATACAACCATGAAAACACCGGACTACTGAAGTCCGGCGCGTCTCAATAACATGAATAACTGTCGTGGCTCCTGCAACGAAGTGAATCAGAATATATTATGAGAGAAGAAGAAAAAAAAGATAGTTTCCACTTCCCTCGGTGAAGGCGCTAGCCTCTATTTCGCCTGTTAGTAAGGGATGATGCGGCCTATGACGGAGCGCACATAAGCAGCCTATTTACTCGAGACTTGAAGACACCCAGTTTGTACCCTTCTAGAAACGCACACTGTGACAAGGAGTTCTATTTCTTAGCGGTTCACATAAAGAACCTACCAAGCGTTGTGCGAGTTAGTGTATTACCCTTAAATTTAAGTATTCTCGTAACTGTTTAACGAGGTAGTCGGATTAGTTCCAAGCCATACTTGGGGCTTTTTACAGCCCTGAAAGTTGTCACGCTACAAACCCTGGCGCTAGTCGTATATAAGTAAGCTGTAAAAAATGACATTTTTATTCCATGAGCCGGTAAACGAGCAGATGGATCACCTGATGGCAAGCAATCGGCGCCATCCATGGACACCCGAAACAATGGAGTTGGTACAAATGCGTTACCGGCGGTGGGGATTAGGAATTTGTGGATTGTTGAGGATTCGCGGATTGGGGAGATTGAGGAAGAGGGGGGACAATTGGGCCTCTGGTAACCTCAAACACACGACGTTTACGTCGGTTTTCTGTGAGGCTGTGATATTACTGGAACCGGTCCATTCGTGCCGAAGCTAGACTCTCCCACACTTCATCTTCTTCATAATCCCCGATTTTGACAAATCCACAACATTTGTTCATACAAAAGTAGTCTCTAAATATAGGAAATAAGGTCTATAATGTAATAAGTCGACCGCTTGTGAGCTGGGCAGTTGCCCAGTCCCCCTTGCCATACTTTTGTGTGACCAAATGTTGTGGATTTTTCATAGTCGACAATATAGATGGATGGATAGAAGTTAATTAATGTATGGTTCTACTACCTGTTCTTTCGTTTTCCCTTTAGTTTCTTTTAATGTTTTTTCATCCATTTCTTGTTTTTCTTCTATAGTTGGATAGTCGCCTCTGACAACTAGTATGGTACCGCCTTCGACTTCATAGGGGAATTCAGGAAAGAAGCCATAACCGTAGAACCTGAAATATTTGTCTTACTTTTTTCTGTCACATAACATTATCACATTACACCTTTTATAACCGAACATTACGGCACTTAATGCCACTGTACAATGTAACACCCACTTTTCACTATTTATGTTATGAGTACCATGTAATAGGGTGAGCCTATTTCCATATACCGGGCACATTTCCAGACTCCGTGCTACTAATGAGAATTTCGCAAAAAATCCAGTAATACTTTGCCCGACCCGGGGATTGAACCCGAGCCCGGCAGTCGCACTTCCGACCACTAGGCCAACGAGGCAGTTCTTACTGCCCTATTAGATTTTCAACTTTATTGTTCTGACATAAGGTCGAAAGGTAATTCATAAAGGACAAATTGTACAGTACAAACGTTTGAAGATTTTAATTCCATTCCAAAATTCGTTTGTATCGAGCAACACTTGCGACATCTAGTGAACTTGGCGTGAACTATTTAAAGTGTCGTTTTCACACATCAAATTCTTATAGACTCGTTTTATCTTCGATCAACAACGTTTTATGTTATTTTCGGAATAAATATGAAAAATGCCATTTTTCATATTTAATCTTTTTTTTTAATACGTTGCCACACTAGGATTTTTCCTGCGTCGTGTGTGCGTTTAAAAATATACAAGTTCACATACACATCACACCTAGACCCGAAACAACAATTTGTAGATTACACAAAGACTTGTTTAGTGTGGGAATCGAACCCGCGACACGTTGCGCGGCAGACGGTTGCCCAGCCGCCGCGCCAACCGTGCCGTCAAATCGACAACGTGTCCCTTAGTCGGGTGGTGACATAGTAAGTAAGACCTTACCATTCTTTAAACCAGTTCCTGATCTCATCAGTGATATCATCTATTTGGTTTCCCTTCTTGAACATAAGTATTCGTGTGTTTTCTTTTTCTAATTCTTTTAAATATGTCGTGTTTATTTTTAGTCTTGTCATCTTTCGCCTTTCGTATATCTGTAATATTAATATATTATAATTCTGAATCGTCGCGCTTAAGTATAGTCACGGTAATAAGTAGGTATTATCATACTGTAGTGTAACTCGGCCGCATGACAGAGTTAAATAGAATAGGAAGTGTTCAATAAAAATGCATGTTGGTTTATGATTGGTACACACACATACACATAACATCACGCCTTTTATCCCGAAGGGGTAGGCAGAGGTGCACTTTATGCCACTGTACAATGTAACATCCACTTTTCACTATTTATGTTACGAGTCCCATGTAATAGGGGGTGAGCCTATTGCCATATACCGGGCACAATTCCAGACTCCGTGCTACTACTGAGATTTTTTTTTAAAAACCCAGTAATACTTTGCCCGACCCGGGAATCGAACCCGAGACCCCTTGGTCGGGAGTCACACTTGCGACCACTCGGACAACGAGGCAGTCTCGAGTCGAGTCGAGTCAGTCAGTGATTGGTACACTTAATTTTAAAAAACATATTATGTATTGAAAATCAAATCGGGCTTATGAATTTGCGACCGAAAATATTTGCAAAAAAATACAATCAAAAACAGCACAATATAATTGCTCAATTAAATCGTTGCTTGCTTCTTGCTCACACAATTGACTTCTCTGCATTACCCAAAGGTCAGACAGTGTTTGGGTACTTGAGTGTAAATTAGATTAGGTGAAATGTGAAATTTTGGCACATAATCGGTTATTACAATATTTTCGTTTCGAGTTCGAGTGTCGTGGTGGCCCGGAGGTTTAAGACGCCTGCTTCTCATGCATGAGGGTGCGGGTTCGAAACCTACCAACGGCAAATACCAATGTGACTTTTCCGAGTTATATGTACTTTCTAAGATTATCTAGACGCCATTGACAAACGGTGAAGGAAAACATCGTAAGGAAACCTGGGCTTATAATTTCTAATTATAAGTTTGTAATCGCCAACCCGTATTGACCAGCGTGGTGTTTAATGCTCTAACCTTCTCTGTGTGAGAAGAGGCTTTGCTCAGCAGCGGGCATTTATAGACCGATTGATTGACAATATTTTCTCAATTACCTATAATAGGGTAGTTGCCAGCGCATCAAAATTAAAAATTAGAACCTCCTACTTTTTTGAAGTCTTGAAAATTAGTAAATGATTAAGAAAATTGAGTTGTTACTTTACATATTACATACATAACATCACGCCTTGTTTTTGTTTCCGAAGGGGTAGGCAGAGGTGCACATTACGGCACTTAATGCTGCTGTACAATGTAACACCCACTTTCTATTTATGTTATGAGTCCCATGTAATGGGGGCTGAGCCTATTGCCATATACCGGACACAATTCCAGACTCCATCCTACCACTAAGATTTTTTTTTAAATCCAGTAGTACTTTGGCCGATCTGGGAATTGAACCCGAGACCCCTTACCCGGCAGACACACTTGTCGTTGGTGGTGCTACTTTATTAGCTAAAAATCGCGGGTTACTCACTTGAATATACTGAGAAAAGCTCTAATAGTTTCGAGCCACAGAGGGGTTCTTCCTCATGAGCAGCGTGCGCGGTTGCGGCGATGTCGCGCAGCCTACGCCTATCGCCGCAGTTTTGAGTACATTTTCCCTGTATATTCACGTGAGTAACACGCGATATATAGTTAATTTAGTGTGTCTTACGATAGTTATTTATTTATAACTAGCTTCTGCCCGCGACTTCGTACGCGCAATCTCGTTTTTTCCCGTTCCCGTTCGTGATAATCGATAAAAAGTTAAAAAAATGATAAAAAGCATTCTATGTCGGTCTCCTGGTTCTAAGCTACCTCCCTGCCAATTTTCATCCAAATCGATTTAGCCGTTCTATAGTTATAAATAGTGTAACTAACACGACTTTCTTTTATATATATATATAATAGATCTCTATTTATTTATTATTATAAAAACAAAGGCATTACTTTGTTATTCTCCTCGATATAACTTAGGCCTGTTTTGAATGCGTCTGGAATTAAACCCAATATGGTGTCTCTCTTCACTTGTTTCACTTTTTCACGTTTCTCTTTCATATAGAGCCTGAAAACAGAGATTCCTAGAACGCTACGTCCTGCGTGAACGATCTAGATGCGAATGCGGAGCGGTGCGGCGCGAAAATAAGTAACTGTCATTACCTAATGAAGTAAGTGTCTATACTCGGAATTTTAATACGATTCCAGATTTGACAATTTCAGTGTTGCAACGTTATGACAAGTACTAAATAGTGACGTTGCGAAATTAATCGATATGGATATGCAATTTTCTGGATCGATTCTTCTTGTTTATAATTTTACTCTCGTAAACTAAGTATATCAGGAAATTAAATATTTTTGAACCGATAATTAAGTTTTGACGATTAATTAACGATCTGAGACTTTTCTTTTATAATTGTGTGTGAAATAAATAAAAAAATGTAATCATGAAGGAACATGACAAATAAAACAGATAGATGTATTATGGTAATAAGTTATTTTATAAATTGTCGCCGTCATCACTATCGCTATCCTGTCACTTTCTGTAACATTTATTATAAAACACACACACTGATTGTTTATCGATTTTTGTGTTCATCACTACACTATTATATGTGGTATCATTATTTCACAAAATGACAGTAGCTATTGTCAAATCTGGAATCTAATTAAAATTCTGACTATACGTGACAATACGCCCGTGGGATGCGTTGCAGAGCTGAGCGATATGACGCGGTCGCGATCGGGGTTTGATATTTTCGTGTGAACTGTCATATTTGGATGCGATGCTTTCATATTATTATTTGGTTATAATGCCGGAAACAGAAACGAAGCGAAACGATTCGCGTCTACGTAGGACATAGCCGCCGCATTCCACCGGTAGCTGTAGCCAAATGCCATTTAGCGCTTGTCTACTTGTAGAATAGAAAACCCACAGAACATATAAAGGAGGATAGAACGGCCTTGTGGGCGGTACACGCGTGCTGCGGTTATGAGCAAATGCTCCAAATCTACCAAAATGTCAAAAACCGGCCATCAAACGCAATGTTGTTGTGACAGCGTACGAAACTCCGCAAATAATATTAAATTATACCGTCTTGGACTATTGTAATGTGTCGGAAAAGAAGACAGGTGTGCAATGTAGCACGAGAAGGGATTTCTTTCCACCAGTGACTTCAAAAACATTAATATACTTGTGATATTTGTAATTATAACATTAATATTATGACGTTTCTAGACAAAAACGACATTATCGCAAGCAGTATACATTGCTTGCAATAGATACGTACCGTTTTGCACTACATAAACGATCGCGCAATGTATTACGTTCACAACGAGAGTCCCGAGTATCAAATCAAAACGTCATTTCCTCGAATCGATATAGAGAAGTGTCAATTTGTAAACAATGTCGATAATTACTATGATACAAAGGATTATTATCAAATTATACACATTATAACTAAAATAATTTTATTTATTACGACTAATTATGAAATAGGTTTTAAGTGAGGCATTTTATTCGTATTTCAGTTTTATATAATTTTTTATGTATTCGTTATGTTTTGTTCAGTAAGTAGACTGATTTTATGATTTAGGAAATTTTGTTTTACATTTCTACCTTGATATCATCTAAGGGACATCTAAATCATTTTTCGTAAGATGGATACTCTTTCATACATGCTTAGGCCCAAATTGTAAATAGTTGAAACTATGAGAAATTCTTAAAAGCCAGCCGAAATTTTAGTCAATAATTTAAAATAGTTGTTGAGGTTTTCTATTCGAGAACAAAGCTATGACAACAAATAAGATGACATTATATCCTGGGAGCGATTGTATTGTACCTTTTTTAAGAATAGCTATGTACACTTGATGACTTTTCTAGTTTTCAGAGCTTTTAGAGCTGACTTAATTTACGTGAGCTAAATATTGTGTTGGCCTGGAGGTTGCGGCGCTGTTTCATACAACTTATACGTACTTTCTAAGTTAATTTGCACACCACTCACATTCAGTAAAGGAAATTATGTAACCGAAACTATATAATAATTCCTATTTATATTAACTATTAAAGAAATACGAACGACGATTATCGGTTGTCATCATACGAATGTCATGATGATATCTAACAGAGACAATAACAGAGTTTTGAGCACAGATTAGATATATCATGATATGGTTACGTTATGATAATTCTCAATATTTCATTATTTTATGATTTTTCATTCCTTAGGGAGAAATTACGCTATTTTTTATATATTTTGAATTAAGTAAAAATCTATTATTTTTGACCCCATGACTTCCCAGACTCCTTTTATTTTTATAAAACTTACAGTTGAAAACAAAACAAAATCGAAATAATACCTTTTCGGGTTTTTATACTTTTTTGATTACTACCAATCAACAATTTACTTATAACTATATTCCATGTCAAATTATTTTAATGTTAATAATGTAATTGATTTTAAAAATCAGTTATGTATTTTTCTATGTATAGTTATTTACATTAACGTAAATACATGTGCACAATATGCTTTATACAAATCCGCATAGTCCACAATACATGTAAATTAAGAAGCTAGATGCCATTAATTTTATCGATATCAATAATCGACCTTTCGCTCCCCCTACCATATATGAGTTTTTTACGCCTGTATTAGTGTATGTCAAACGAAGTGATTGCGTCAGTGTGACGACCAATAACAAATCTTTTAACCTAGTGCGTGTTGTTTATTTGTGTGCATTTTCCGCGTAGGTATTGGTCTCTTGCTTGTAGTAAAGTTAAAGAGTGGGGGACAAACGGCGACGCGTGTTCTAATACAAATCAGGATATCTTTCTAGCCTTCTTTATATGTTCTGTGAGAAAACCAAATTATATGGAATTAGCTTTTACCCGCGGCTTCGCTCGCGTCACAAAAGGATAAAAAGTAGCCTATGTGACATATACCAATACATACAGCGCCATCTATACCAATACTTTTATTTTCCCTCGGGAATATCAAATTATTACGGGATAAAAAGTACTCTGTTATTTAATCCAGACTTCTAACTTTACGTCTGCAAAAAATCAAAGCAATCGGTATAGTAGTTACGGCGTGAAATCGGGACAAACAAACAAACTCACTTTCCGATTTATAATATTATATTAAGGATTGACGTAAATTTTGACATTTGTCAGTGTCATCCCCATACAATGTAGACAAGCGCTAATAGGCGTTTGGCTAAACGCACGGATCGGATTGAATTCGCGTGACATCGCTTCATAATCGCGTTAGCTTCCAAAGGCCTTAGTACGAGTTTGTATTCGTTCGGCGCTCTGATTGGCCGGCTGCAATTAACTTGTAGGAATAAACTGGATTGCCTATCCCTAACTTTCACGGGAATTGATCCCGCGTCGAGCGTACGAGGAAGCTACAAGCTATGAGGTCTAACGGTGAAGCGACAGCAAGAAATAAAACAGAAAAGCAGAAGTGATTTTAATGACTTACGATATATTAAGCACAATAATTTGGACATACAATTTAAATATTACAAACGAGGACGATCGCGAAGTGTAAGCTAGCTCGGTGCGGACTGTGTGGTGGCCGCCGCGTCGTCGTTACTCGTGCCGGTCTCCAATCAAAGCGTCCAACGCAGTCTCGTTTCGACTACTTTAAATGTAAAAGAAATTCGTACTAATGCCTCATATCACTCACACAGGACGTAGCGCTAGTGATTTGATAGCCATATCTTCAAACCATCTATGAACTAAGAGTTACATAGCGTGAGTGAGCATTGAACTCACCTCTTACTTGAATTCGTTTTCATTATAAGGTGTCACTTGCTGTCGCTAAGTGTCACTTAACTTAGGGCGATAAATATGATGATGGAAATAATAATCGATATTTGTAAATTACCTGTGAACTTTCTGGATAATATTTGCAGCCCTGTGTTTCAATTCGTCCGGTGCTTGCTGAGCAGTTTCCAGGAAATACAACCTTCGTTGAGCAGCTTTACTTTTTATATCAGACATTAGCCATCGTCTGAAAATGAAGAATCAAATATTATTATATATTTTTATACATGATAGGTTGACGTTCGGCCACCATCTCACCTGGGTGCTTACTCTTGAAACTCACTCTTAATCTCAATGTCAATGCAATTTCAATCCAATAAAATCTCAATAATTATTCAATGTTAAAACTATACAACCATAATCGTAGCTGTTTAAATAGCATTTAGAGTACGGGATATAAATCCAAACCCAATACCATTTAGTTCATTCAACATCCACGCAATACGGATGCAATGGGCGCTAGTGTTGCAACTCAAGAGTACGAAATTTCGCAATACCAATGTCGATCGATCGGAATTGGATTCAAGAGTAAGCCACCTGGTATTAAGCTATGATGTAGTCAACGATGGAGGACGCCTATCTATGAGCAACCTGTTCACTTAGGACTTAAGACACCCAGGTTAATGATAAAATATTAATCAAAACTGTTTATTGTAACAAAAACATTTGATACACAGTTTATGAATACTAACATCTAAACTAGGCCGAGCCTGTACCTTAGATGTTAGTTCCTTCTAATTGAGACAGAATATTATGTACAATTAATAGAACAATACTTTCTAGAATAGTAACTACTAGGTCTTTGAAATATAGTTTGTACATGTTTAATAACATCAATAGTATCTATTACACGAGTATGACAAAACAATAGAACCACCTTGAGAGACAGGGAGGGTAAGTACATGATAAAAAAATATTGTACACAATATCAAACTTTTTATGAATGACCTACATGGAATAAATTCACTCAAGTATAGTTAAGCCACTAAAACAATGAACTTAGATTATTTTTTAACTTTATTATTTTATTTATTTATGTATAAAGTGTAATGTAAGGTTGTATTTATCGGAAAACACAGATTCCAGCTAGGAATTTTATTCCTTAGCGGTTCGCACAAGGAAACTTAATGCGAAACGCTTTGCGCGAATGGGTGAAATGTCCATCATATAAGGGTGGCGCCCTGCCATTCGTCTGGTAGTACGATGGTGAAACGGACTAGGGGGAATAAAGTTGTGCAATTCCCACACTTATAATTAATATAAATAAACATATAGCTGAGTTTATCGAGACTTTTATCATTTGAAGAGTTTTGTTTTAATGAGGTCCGTGTATACAGGGTGTAATTTTGTAATTCCACCTGGAGGGGGAAGTACTTATATATGTAGATACGTAAAAATTTAATTAAATTTATGAAGTTTGTTAAAGAGATTTCATCCTTATTGAACCTGACTTTTACAGATTTTAGTCGGCTCGATTACCATGTGCGGCAAGCGAGTTTTTAAAACTTCGAATGCAGTTTTCTTTCTTTTAAAAAATAAAGGATGTTGTTTTCTTGGGTGAAATTTTATAGTAATTCCCCTTCAGGTGGCATTACAAAATTCCACCTTGTATACAGTCTGTACTGTTATTTACTATGCCCATAAGAAAATAAAGATTGACTCAGTACAGAGACAGTAACTATTGTTATTCTAAATCATATACTTTTATTTGTGACGAAACCAACCAACGGTTACTGTCTGCGTACTGAGTTAATCTTTATTTCATACTGTAACAGATTAGGGCTGAATGTTTCCACAATGAATTTAAGAACTAAAAAAATGGTTGCCTGTAAAGTCGTTTTTACGGGCGAAGATTTTACGTGACAACGTCTTTTTCTCGGTAGAATATTTATTGATATGAATATAATTAAATTGCACAATAGGAACAAGGAATTGAATGAACTAGTGCTGCGCGCGCGGCAGACCGATCATAGTTGAGTGGGAGAGAGACGCAAGGCATTCGGCGGGCCTCTCTCTCGTTCGGTGACTCATCGTAACGTTACCGAGCGTTACACTTTTTCATAAGTGACTCCCAGCCGCAACCTAATTTAAGACGTTGTCACGTCAAAAAAAATA